GGAAGTGGGGGACTAGTGTTGGGATATTAGGTCCAGGCCCAATATCCCTAGGCCCAAATCCGGGAAGAAGCTGCAAGCCCAAAGAACTCCCGAACGGCATTCGGGAGTAAAACTTATACTTGGAACATTCTGGGAAACAATTATGCCAAAGTATCAAGGCCCAAATATCGATCGGCGTTCGGGATACTTCGGGTAGAAACTATCACCTATGGCGGGGTCCCACACACCGAACACCTTGCCCGAACGGGCGGTCAGCAAGTGGAGGCCGCATTTAATGCTGGATCATGACAGCTGCAAGTGGGGGCATGAGTGCTTACATGGCAGAGGTGATAGCCTACCAGATTCGGCCACGTATCCACCTTACCCATCCCCATTATAGTATAAATACCCCAGTTTAGATCATTGTAAAGGGTTAGCATTTTAATACTCAGAGCTTAGCAATAGATTTACATCTCTTATCCTTGTACTCTTGTAATCATCTACCGTTCGGGTAGTTCCAGTGTAATCACATATTTATTGAATACCAGTAAGCTCCTGAGTTGGACAAATATCTCATTGTTTTATATTTTATACACATTTCAATCCAACCCAATATCCCTACAATATCCAAGGCTTGTGTTGGGCTTTCGGATCTTCGGGAATAAACCTCAACAATGTGCTCACTGGAAAGAAGGATTTCTCAAAGAAGATCAGCAAACTCCAAGTTGTTTGCTGAAAATTCAGCTGCCTGCTGAAAAATCGGCAGTCTGCTGGAAAAATTGCTGATAAAATTTTAGCTCCCTGGAACAACAAGAGTTATTACCAGCTGAAAAGACCTTCTTCTCCAGACCAAATTGTATAAGTGTGTGAATCAGATGATGTTCAATCCCAATCAGAAAACTCTAACTCAACAAGAGGATTGAACCAGCATCAACTTCATCACACAAGATTGTTAGGATCCTATTGCACTGAAAGTAGATTTTGATTATGTCTACAAACAATGAGATTTTTCAGGCAACAAAGAAGGACCTAGCATATCAATTTCTCAAAGCAAGCTCCTGAATGTTGAACTACCTTGAAGAAGGAATGTTTATGCCTCAAGACTGATAGGTATTCCTCATCATCAATTTTTGACATCAACCGGTACTCTCCATTTCAAGTGATTTCAATGATCTTAAAGTAGTATCAAATGGTGTCAAAGAATTATCAATTGGTATTCTCAACATATCAATTGAAGGACATTTAATTGAGGGGGAACTACACTAAAGATCCAGGCAAACAACATTACATTCAACAAATGTCGGTAACCTTGCATGTGTTCAACAATCGAATTGGAGATTAGAGAAAGATTGATTGAGAGGAATTGATCTTTTTTGGGAACTTTCCCTATTTCGGTCGCGAGCTTATAAAAAATGTAACTAACATTACGAGTGAGAAGTCAAGCAATTCGCCAGCTTGAGGTAACACGGCAACTGATGCTTTCTCCTTGTGTTCATAGTCACCATCGGTGAATTTCTCTTCAGAGGAAAGTTGTTGCAGACTCCTGATGGAACGATAGAGTTTGCGCACAGTGAGAAGCGGTTTGCGAAATCACCTTAAAAAGTGATTTAAAAAAAAAACAATTGCAAACACTCCTTAAATTGGATTAATTCAGACCCGATTAAACCAGATCAAACTTAAACAAATCAAATAAGACCATATTAGATCAGGTCAATAAAAAATGTAATCTAATAAAAAACACCCTAAGAGTCTTTTATTAAATTATCTCTCACATGCATGAATTGAGTAAATCTATTGAATTGTTGAAAAATTAAATTGAAAAATATATTTTATTAATAAAACAAGGAAAAAAATTTATGGAAGCCAATTAAAATAAGCATGTAAGGTCACTTCAGTCAATTCAGTTAGAAAAGTAAGTCTATTCTTACTTTAGAATATTTTTTAAATCGTTGGAACATATTGTTATATACCTTAAGGATCTAGACAAGAAGGTACAAGATAGCAGCACAAGCCATTTACCTAGCGGGTTGAGACCCTGCGCCGAGGCTGGGATCACATTGTAAGCTCGGCTCCGCTCTACGGGCCCATTCCGCTTCGGGCAAAGCTACTTTAATGAGGTCGAGCCTAATGACTGCCACTGTAGATCTTTTGCCGATGCTATTAGATGAGACTGAGCGGGCATGTCCTGCCTCAGCTCGATTACAGTTTCGGACCCAACCATTTTTTAGGGTTTCAAGGTATTCACATTTTCAGGGCTTATGTCACAACAGTCTTCGTTCACGTCATAGGCCTAGATTGCGAAAGGGATGACATTATTAGTGACATAAGCAGCCTGTTTCAACGGAGAAAGCGGTCCAACTCAACTGGTCTCCGATTCACTCTGCTTTATGGGATGTCTCGGGTTCAAAACTCAATGGAGTGAGTTCCAACCCAGTTTACTCCAGATCCCCCAAACCCCACAGACCCCCTGGAGTAAAAAAAAAAAAAAAAAAAAAACCTGTTTCAACGGCCGACATTATCTTACATCAACAAGCATGTTCCCCTAGTATTCATCAGACATGTGTGCCCCCTTCATTAGCTTAACATTTTGGGCTTAGGACTAGGAGTGGATTCGGGCCGGGTCAGGCCTAGGCCCGGCGGGCTTTTGGATATTAAGTGGTAGGGCCGGGACCGGCCCGGGTATCCACCGGGTCCGGTCCGGGCCGGGCCTGTCATAATTTTTTTTATTCTATCCTAACTACTTCCTGATCCCCCCCCATCCCCAAACCGGGTCAAAACACCCTGGTGACTCAGCCCAACCCGGAAGGAAGCAAAAATAAATTGAAAAAAAAAAAAGAATTTAGGCCCGAACCGGGGCCCAGCCGGGTCGGTTCGGATTTTACCTAGCCCGTACCCGCCCCGGATAACCCCCCCAAAACGGGCCTAGACCCGGAACCGGTACCCGGTTCCTGGGCCGGGACGGGCCGGGTGGCCCGAACCGGGTCCAAGCCTACTTAGGAGTTAGGACCCAGCCTTATATCTTTGTCTGTATATAGTCACATTTCCCTTTTTGAAAAGCGACCGAAACTCATGTACTGTTTTTCTGTCATTGATTACACAATTTTTTCACTCTATATTTGATCTAACTTTTCTCTAGTTTCACTATCTCCAGATTCTTTAACCCATCATTTGGTGTCTCATTCAGAAGCTCGGACAGTACAAGTTAGATCCACTCCATGTTTGTTCAACTATTTAGTGAAACAGGTCACAAATTTACACCCAAAGCTGCAGCTCCCTCAGCTCCTGTTGATGATTTGGACTGAGAGAAGCATGTGGAGACCATTTCCCTATCGAGAGCTATGTAGAAAAGTAAGTTGTTGCAGGCCTGCGAGGGATGATCCAACAGAAGACCCCTGATCTGATCGAAGCAACGTATCCAACATCGGCCTCAACTTACTCCTGACAATCTCGAGATTCAAGATATTTCTTACTTTCTTAGGCTCAACCAAACTTTGTGGTTCAATCGAATCAAATAGAAAATTGGTACTTTGATTTGGTCACAGTTCACCTGTAGTAAACGTTTTAGTAAGAATATGCTCAAACCAAATGGTTTGATTTGATTTGGTTTTAAACTGAAAAATCATAAATCGAATCAAATCAATTTTAATAAATCGTATATATTAAAATTAAAATACTTTGCATTTCTCTTCACTGTTCATCTCTAAGAAATAAATAAATAACCTATAAGGCTATATGTGAAAAATACATGTTTATTTTCTATTTTTCAAACATAGAACTTCGATCAATAAATCAAATAAGTCCATAAATATATCAAAGTGAATCAAATCAAACTAAACTTTTCTTCCTATTAAATGCATCAAAATAATTTAAAGCTATAGACAAGGATATTATGTATCTTCGTTTAAAGAACTTTATTCTCAATCTGAAATAATTCATCAAATTATAGCTCTATACTCTCCTCAATCTAATAGTATTCCGAACACAAGAGCATAACTCTTAAAGACATTATATTATAGCTCTATACTCTCCTCAATCTAATAGCATTCCGAACACAAGAGCATAACTCTTAAAGACATTATGAATGACATGTTGATTAATTCATGCCTCCCCCAGAACATATTGGGGAGACAATTTCTCGACAAATCACATTTGTAATAAAGTACTATACAAAACAAAGGACGGGAAAACAGTCAAATAGGTCCTCGAACTTTCATAAAAAGGTCAATTAAGTCCTTCTATAAGAGGTTCTGTCCGGCCGTCGCGATTTGGGGCAGTTCTCGGTGGAATTTTTTGATGAAATTTTTTGAGCATCTTATTCACCAAGTCTAGTTTACTCATACCAAATTTCAGCTAAAAATTCAATCGGGAACGCATTCAAATTAATTCGAGAACGCAAAAATGCGCAGTTATCTTCAAGAATTAATTTGAATGTGTTCCCGATTGAATTTTTAGCTGAAATTTGGTATGAGTAAACTAGACTTGATGAATAAGATGCTCAATAAATTTCATCAAAAAATTCCACCGGGAATTAATTTGAATGTCTCCTATAGAAGGACTTAATTGACTTTTTTATGAAAGTTCGAGGACCTATTTGACAGTTTTCCCAACAAAGGACATAACTTCATAGAAATTATGAAATAGTAGTGAGCTATCTTATAAATATTTTAATTTTAAAGTATTGGGATGCTTAGCAAACGTTATAATACCTAAATCTATACAAGTTTAAATGTTTTTACTTGGACTATCTCAGTCTCAAATCAAAGCAAACCAGACTTAAACAGATCAGATCAGACTTTCATAATTATAAATACACAAAGACCATACATTTACCAGATCAAATCAAACTTAAACATATTGAACTAGACCAACAAATTTCAATCCAATATGGTTGGACAATACAATTTGATTTTATTTACTTAGTTAGGATATTAACTTTTTATTATATTCCAATTTAAATTTTTCGACTTTGTAGAATTTTTAATTTAATATCTAAATATGTAAATTTTAATTATTAACACTAATTTCAATATCTATGCGGATTTATATAATCTCTAAATAAATAATTTCTTATAAGTAAAAAGACTAAAAACAAACTCAAACACTGTTAATTTGATACAAGAGGACAAACACAATAGCATATCTGAAGACAAAAATTGACACCAACTCTTTTTTATCCCCTACCATAGTATTGAGCAAACATTACAGATCCGGATACCAAAGAGGGAAAAGAGTAAAGATACATCCACACATAAACAAAGCATAAATTCAATGAAGACTTCACTTGAAAGTGGAAAGCCTTGGAAGTTTGTCTCGCAAATAGTACAACCTTGCCCGCCTCACTTTACGGTGTTTTACTACCTTGATCTCTTTGATGTTTGGTGAATATCTGTAACAAATAAAGACAAAACAGTGTATCAGAAAATACTAAACATGGACAAGTTAAGAGCATAAGAACCTAAGTGGTGGTATTTGGAAATTTGTGAATGCCATGAATGTTGAAGACATGTAAAAGTAAGAAACCTGCATAATAGTTTTCATATTTTTCATTAAAAGCCAAATGCTCGTTATGAGGACTACAAGGGTCTAACTTCCATGACTGCAGAAGAGATTGAGATACAGAAAAAATTACTCCCTCCGTCCCATTTATATTGTCCCGTTTTAGCTTTTCGGGAAGTCCCACTTAAATTGTCTCATACCATATTTGGCAAAGTTTGTGTGGCTCTAAATCATTCTTACTTTATTCTTACTTTATCCATTAATATCAACCACACAAACTCACTTTTCTTAATAACCGTGTCACCCTCTTCCGGGACAATATAAGTGGGACGGAGGTAGTATATCTTTCCATAATGCGGTTGTGCAAATGTTTAAAATTTGAAGAAGTTCCCTGGTAAACTTTGTATTAGTATGGATGTTTAAAATGTCTCAGGTTGAACTTGATCCCTGTTTATGACTTTATAGTGCAACAGGCTTTCTTTGCAATTTTTACCTCAAGTTTCCTTTTCTACTTCTTAAATACTCCTTAATACTCTTCCATATTATTGCCAAAGATTAAAAAATAAGGGTCCAATCCACATGAAAAATGTTGGGGAAAGAAAACAAGAAGGAAAATACGGTGAAATTTTGGATGTAAAGAAAAGTGAAACTAAGAAATCTACATATTTTTATTGTGCAAGACCAAGGGCACGTTCATAACACTGAAGTTGCCTAAATTGGCTCTGAAGCTGTTGAAATTTGTGAAATTGTAAGTGAAATGGCTGAATTGGCTGAATTATAGAAAAACTATATTTCAAATATATTTTATTTTACTAATAAAGTTAAGAAAAAATTAAATGAAAAATAGCTAAAACAGTCCTCTACCGTAACTTCAGCCAATTCATCCAGGAAAGTACCTCCAACCTTACTTATTTTGATAATAATCAAAATAAGTAAGGTTGATAAAAAACTACGTGTTTGATAAAAATGTTGTAGTAAAAGCTTAAAATAAGGGTTACCAAACAAGCTTTAAGAAATCTATATATATGTAAAAGCTTAAGAAGTTGTAATAAAATTTGATTTTCTTTCATATTTTCCAAGATAAACAATTTTTTTTTAGAAAACTCCATTTTCATTAGTGCACCTTTTTCTTTTGCTCAACATTTTCCAGGCACCAACTACCAAGCAATGCCTTAAAGCACATATGAGGCGAAAGTTTGTATGAACAAGAAGATGAAAGAAACAAACTACAAGAAAACGTACATAGGGAACACAATCTCAACCCCAACACCAGCAATGATCCTCCGAATCCGAATGGTAGTGTGAATACCAGCATTTTGCTTTGACATGACTATACCTTTATAAACAGACAATCTCTTCCTGTTTTCTGGAACTTCCTACAAAGTTAATAATAGAAAACACCTTATAATAAGGTTCTTTAATTCGAACACTTATAATATGTAATCATTACCACCTAAAGCTGGAAGAAAAAAAATTAAAAGTACCAGCTTGATCTCTACAATATCACCAGTCCTAAGATCCGGTACATGCCTTTCAGTATCAGCTGCTTCAACTGCTTTCTTGTTCAATATCTACTAAGACAAAGTAAAACCCTTCATCAAATTACTGCCCTTCTCCTCCAACGTGCCAATTTTAAGTTCTGTGTAAAAAATTATTATTGAGTACAAGCTAAGCTATCATAATTACCAATTCTAATAACATTAGTTCTTCTTCATACCCTTGAATTGGTCTTGATTAGATCAGATTTAGGGGTGTTCGGATCTGATTCTTAAAACTGCTTGTGCTCTCTCAGGGAGCAAAAGCAGAAGCTAGAGTGTTTGGATGAAAGTGCGGAAGTGATTTTGTTACTCTTTTTTACTCCTACAATCAATTTTTAGAAACTGAAAGTGACCCGCTTCTGAAAATTGATTCTGATTCTGCTTTAGAGAAGTAGAAGCAAAATCAGTTCCAAACGCCCCTTAGTTAATCTAATAGAGTATGAAATTATAAGATTTATATGTCTTTCCAAAACTAAAAAATTCTCATTATGCCATTTCATTGAATTTTCATGTGTATGTTCGGCTTTCTCACCAATCAAAATAAGCCAAACAGCCTATGAAAGGAAAAATGGAGAAAAAATATAATACCCCCATTATATCTCCGAGCTTAATCCGAGGCTTCCTGGGAGGCTTTTCCTCTTTTGCGGCGGCATCCATTTGAGACTCTGACTCAGTTTCTGACCCAGATTCGGGTGCAGCCTCCTCTGCAATAGGAGCTTCAGAAACTTCATCCACTCCCTCTTCATCAGCTCTAACAACAAAAGGTTGCTTTCCGCGCTTTGAAAGGCTGGAGTGGATAGAATTGGATGAAACCCTAGAAAGTTCAGTTGCGAATGAATTGAGCTCGGAGGGACGGAAGAAAGAAGAATATCCTGGCCTCTTCGGACCCCAATGAGTGGGGTTCTTTGGAACCACAAACAACACCGGAAAATTAATCAAAGACACCTGAGAAAGAACATTGGAGCCCATTGGCAAGTAAAATAGAGCAGGGATGGTGATGATGATAAAGAAACGGTATCTTGAGAAGTATTATTAAGACATGAAAGATGAAAGGTAAGCGAAAATCACAGCAGTTCGAGAAGTGAGAGGTGCGGACGAACGATATGGAATAAACTTTTTTTTTCTCACTGAGCTCCTGCCTGGTCTTCTCAAGTTCTGATGGATTATGGCGTGTGTCCCTTCCACAGTTGTCGAGGCCTGATCCTGACCAAGACAGGACCAGCCGTTCGACCGTTGCCATTTGTTGCCCTTCCCAGTTAAATATTTTGTTGAAATTTTTTGAGCATGTTATTCATGAATCCTAGTTTATCCATACCAAATTTCAGCTAAAAATTCAATCGGGAAGGCAGTCAAATGATTTTTGGAAGTTAACTGCGCAGTTTATATAGATATAAACGCAGTTATCTTCCAAAAATCATTTAAGTGCCTTCCCGGTTGAATTTTTAGCTGAATTTGGTATGGATAAACTAGACGTGATGAGGAACATGCTCAAAAAATTTCATCAAAAAATTCCACCAGAAAGAGCCTCTGATGACCTTGGCCGGACGGCGCCTCCCGTCCCCCTGGATGGACCTGATCTTTTCTGATAAGTTCTCTCCTATAATAAAGCTTTGGCCAAGAAACGAATAATCCAACTTTTTCTAGTCTTCTTTAAAGTTAGTTCATCAAAAATCCAAACCTTGTGTATTACTGTGTCTTCCTTCTTTAATCCCTTCGTGATACTTACAATGTTTTCTTTTCGACTCTTTTCGGTCTCAGACCAAACCAGACTTAAACATATCAGATCAAATTGGACCAAACTAAAAAAACACTAAACTCGACTTGGACAATTATTCAATACACAGAAACCATACATTTACCAAACCAGACTTAAATAGACCAGACCATACCAAATCAGCAAATTTTAGTCCAAAAGAAAATATCGTTACCGATTGTTGAAAGTTATGTAAATGTAAACTAACCTCTTATTTCAGTGTGTAAAATTTTTAAAAGTTTATAATTACGTAATTCGTTCATACGTACCCTGTGCCACACCCCCTTCTTTCTTCTTTCTTCTTTCTTCTTTCTTCTCTCTTCATCCTTTCTCTTTTCTTTCATGCTACATTCTTCGTCCACACCAGTTCATTCAGTTTGCACTCTCAAAGTTCACAAGCCAAAAAACCCTAACTCATTTGTTTGGTAAGTTCGAGTGATTAGTACTGGTACTAGCAAATAAGCCTTCAACCACAGTAGTAGTGGTTCTTACATTCATTTATTACATTTCATGTCCAAAGCCAAGAAAAATAACTCCTACCACTAAAACTAAGTGCTTATAGCACTGACATAGGCCATTGCAGCAAAAGCAACTACTGCAATTCCAACAAACCCAAACAACATCCTAAACAGTTTTGCATCCTTTTGCTTCACTCTCAATGACCCTTCTGAGACCATCAACATCCTTGTTTCACTATCAATCACCATTCTAAGACTTCAATTTGTCCTTGCACAACACTTAACTGGTCAGCTACTCTTGAGATCATGATCCTTCATCTGTATTTTCGTTCCTCTTTTCAGCATTCATTGCTACAGGCGTTTGCAATTCATCTTTCCACAAAAAGTAACCACACGCCCTAACCTGATATTCAATGTCACAAATAAAGAAATTGTGAAAGTTCTTCTTTGCAGACGAAATTACATAAATTCCAACAATTATAGTCAATTAATTCTACCTAATTGAATAACAAATAGGCTAAAGGGTCAAATAGGTACATGAACTAACTTAAAGTGTTCAATTAGCCCCTTATATAAGAGGTTCTGTCCGGCCGTCGCCAATTGAGGCAGTCCCCGGTTGAATTTTTTGATGAAATTTTTTGAGCATCTTCTTCATTAAGTCTAGTTTACCCATGTCAAATTTCAGCTAAAAATTAAATCGGAAAGGCAGTCAAATGATTTTCCAAAATGTACTGTGTTGTTTAACTGCACAGTTATCTTCAAAAAATAATTTGACTGCCTTCCCGGTTGAATTTTTAGCTTAAATTTGGTATGGGTAAACTAGACTTAATGAAAAAGATGCTAAAAAAAATTTATCAAAAAATTCCACCGGGAACCGACCCAATTGGCGACGGCCGGGCAGAACCTCATATATAAGGGGCTAATTGAACACTTTAAGTTAGTTCATGTACCTATTTGACCCTTTAGCCTAACAAATAATTATTACCTTCCAATTCTGGCACCCGTAGAACATTCTCCCACTCTCCCGTCCTACACAGAGCGGAGTTTTCAATCTGTAGTAACAGTATAACGAAGGCTCATAATCAAGTCGAAAGCTTCGTCCTTTTGTCGCATTTGAAGAAGATGCAGATGACATTTGAAGAAGATGCAGGCGACCTCTAATTAGGGTTCTTGACCGAAATAGAGAAGGGATAACTAATGAATGGATAAGAGAAGCATCAGGCTTAGTAGGAAATAAATTAATTTGAAAAATAAAATAATATTATCCATGTTGGCAGTCACATCAGCACTTAACAGGCTAAATCGGCTCATTCCCGGCTAACAAGACGAATTAATTATTTTTAGCACTTTGGGGACTTGTTGAAACTTAAAGTAGTAGAAGGACTCAATTGACTTTTTTTTGAAAAGTACGAGGACCTGATAGTTTTCCCTTGATGTTATTACACACAAGACAAAATTAGGGTTATATTGAGTTGGAGTTTGGTATTATTAGATTGACAAGGATTTTGCTATTCTTTGAGTGTAAAAATGAAATCTTAGATGAGAGAAATTGAAGTTTTGTTTGTGTGCTAGAGGATGAAAAATGCGGTTTCTTCAGGTGCGAAGATGGTGTTCAGACACATACATCACCTCTAATTGGAGATGTCAACATATTTCAGAAACATCCCGTCACAATTGACCTACAACTTGAATGGAGGAGGATGAAAGAAAAAATTAAGAAGATGTGTTTGAAAAATAAAAAACTGACAGAGGAATTGCAGCACATGAAATATGAAATTTATGAACTGTGTAGTGAAAATTTAAAGTACTCAAGAAATGAGGATAAGTATTGTCTTTGTCTAACTATTTCAGTGCTCATATTTTCTATTGTATTGTTATTCTTGAAATGGTATTATTTTAGTCGTAGCCCGTAAGTTGATTACTATGGCATTGTAGTTCTAGAACATATATCATTGTTTAATAAATATCTTTAATATAACATGTTGTTTTTTAGCCAATTTGATAATGTTGGTAGTTGACTGTATTAACTAAGTGCAATCACTCTGAGTTTCCCTTTGTTTTTTGTCTACTGGCTAGGCTAAGTACAGTTATTGCATGTATTATTTCTGAATGATATTTCAAGCACAAGGTCATTCTTGAGTGCCAATTCTGTGGCCATTCTCACTGTTTCCACTTGAGACAATATCATTAAACATTGAATCACCATATTAACATTAATGGGTGCAAAGATCAGAATGAAGCTTGTAATGAAACTGGTGCATGGAACTTTTATAGAATATAAAAGTATCCACAATACGCTGCCATGCGATTTTAAATTATAGGTGAACCATGAGAACTACATTCCATTCTAAATCATTACTGCATATTGCAAAATCAAATCAGTAATTGGTCACTACAGAGATTGATAAATGACCATATCACATAGATCTATAAATAATAATCTCTTTTCCAAGTCGAAATCTACACACTTTCCAATCAGATCAGTCTTGTTCCTCTTAACTGGTCATGAATCCACATGGTTGGTGATTGCATGACATATCATAATAGTATTCAAAATGATTTACAAAAGCACGCGCACCTTTAGTTTGCACCTCTTTAAGTGTAGAGCAAAATTATGTCTCGCACAGTGTCTATGCTCAACTCGAGGAAGATCTTTTGAAACTACTTTTACATTTATAATATCATGTGAAATAATGACATATCATTATATGTAATCAAAAGAACTTCAAAATATGACAGTATTATAGTTGTGTACCTTATGCTCATCGGCACTATAGCTATGCCTGCTCCTTCACCCAAGTCCGGTCAGCTTTGGAGAAGTATGGAAAACCTCTTATTGGTTATTTTTATCTTCAATGACTGTCCAAGCAATTGGATACATTCGGGCATCATCATCTGTGATATCCTTATTTCACATAATAGTTATCTCCAAAGGGAAATCTATTGAAAACTGTTGGGATTAACAGGATCGTGCTAATATGAGAGAAAAACACTTCTATTACTTTCAAGAATAGAAAGAAGAGACATACAAGCTCTAACTAAAAAACTCTCAAAAACACATCACATATCTCTCAAGGATATTCACAACACTCTTGGTTGTGCTATGATTATCTATCTATTCTAATTTACTTGATGATAGAAAGACTCTCCAAGCTCTCTATTTATAGCACCAAAACTAGGTACTAGGAAGGTGGGAGGAAGATGGGTGGAAGCTTAGGAGAAGCTCCAATGGAGGTGTGAGGAAGGTGGTTCCTTGGTGTGAGGAAACTTCCCAGAGACATAAATGCACATGGAGGAAGCTTCATGGAAGCTAGGAATTGGATTCTTCAATTTGCTTCTACTTGGATATGTCCCGGAAATTGAATTCTTCAATTCTCCCCTTCCAGGCATATTCAGAACAAGCATCTCGACTATGTCTCTGCACAGCTCTAGCTTATCTCGTGTCACCACCTTTGTCAGCATGTCTGGTGGATTCTCCTTGGTGTTGATCTTCACTAGTCTCAACAATTGTTGATCAATCGTCTCCTATATCCAGTGATACCGAACATCAATGTGCTTTGTACGAGAATGGTACATGGAGTTCTTGCTCAAGTCTAGAGCATTCTGACTGTCACAATGTACCTTGTACTCTTTCTGCTGGATCACAAGTTTTTGGAGAAAGCTCTTTAGCCACAACATTTCCTTACCTGCTTCAGTGGTAGCAATGTATTCTGCTTCTGTTGTAGATAAAGTGACACACTTCTGCAATCTTGATTGCCAAGAAACAGCTCCCCCTGCAAAAGTGTAGATGTATCCTGTAGGAGACTTTCTACTATCAATATCTCTGGCCATATCAGCATCTGTGTAGCCTTCTAAGACTGGATCAGCTCCTCCGTAACAAAGACATAACTTCATGGTACCTTTCAAGTACCTGAGAATCCATTTGACTGCCTCCCATTGCTCCTTCCTGGGCGATGTCTGGCCTTGTGCATACCATGGCGTACATCAAACTCCCAACTGCGGAAGAATATGGAACTGCTGACATCTCC